ACAGGCTGAGCACCATCCAGAATTGCGATATGATTGCAGTGTTGGACAAAGGGACGGTGGTGGAGACCGGAACTCACTCTGCGTTATTAGGCAAAGGGCACAGTGGGGCCTACTACGCGTTGGTTAGCCTACAGAGTGGGGCCCACTAAGGTGATCGTTACTTTGTTAGTCACATTGTTATAATTTCTGCTTTTTAAATTTTTTTTTTTTTATTGGGAGTTTCCGATAATGGAGGTAGAGGGGCCTTCCATACGTAAATGTGAAGTTTTATTTTTTTTCCTTCTTTCCATTTTAAAATTTAGTAAAAATTGCAAAAATCACCCTTAAATTCTAGGGTGGTTACCATCGCATTATAAAGCTTTTAATTTAATTAATCACTCATCTAAATTAGAAAAATTATTAGCATTAAACTTTTAAATATTATAAAATTCACGCACCAATTAATTACGAAGATTGTTATAATTAAACTCCCATATGTTATATTGTTACTAGTTAACCCAACAATATAGTTTCAAAATTAGTACATGTTAATCATAAAAATGTTGGTTTTAGCTTTGGTTTGATTATAATAATTCTACTGTTCAAAAGTTTGATCCTATGTTTGTAATAGTACTTATAATTCAAGAGTAGCATGTACACATTTTTCAACATTTAAAGGATTTAATTGCAACGCTTTGGAAGTTTAGGATGTGATTGATCAAATTGGTGAAAGTGTGTTTGGAAACTTTAGTAATTTAAGGGTGGTTTTTGCAACTTTTCCTAAAATTTTATAAGCTCCAGATGTATATCTATTTTAATTTCTTAATTATGTAGAGTAAATATTTTTTGGCTTATGCTTTTCTCTCTCTCAAAGATTATTATTCACAATTGTTTTTCTTAATTATTAAACACTTTTGGTTTAAACAATTCATCTTTTACACCTTCCTTAGTGACTCTCTACTTGCACTTTCTTCTTCTCGCTTCTTGGGGATGGTTGTGAATATATTGTTGCGCGTCGTTTATTTACCTCTGGGATTTTTTTTTGGGCTTCTTTGTTTTTAGTTTGAGTTGAGCTTTTTCTATATATATATGAAATCCCTTTTCTTTTTTTTAAAGAATGGTTGCTCGGATCAGTACTAGTTTAGATTATTCACCTTACGCTAAATTAATGAAAATAACACGAGTCATATTAAACATCAAGTCATTTAGATTAGACATGAAATCGATGATAGAGTATGATTCTTTTTCTATAAATAAGAAGTTTGGAATCACCGTTAAGATACATGAATCCACTTAGCTATTCAAAATTATTGGGCGGCTTTTCAGCTAAAAATTAAGGAAAATGATAATCCTAATTAATTAGCACAAATTGGAACAAGAATTTGGAATTGGACTAATTAGGCAAGTGATTAGACAGTTGGGTCAAAAAAGGAATGATTATTATGTTTAATGTTTTAATGGTTAGGTTTAGAACTGTTGGGTTATGGACCAAGTCAACGGTGACTGCTTTGAAATTTTATTCAAAATTATATGATTTCTTATCACCATTCTCAGAAAAGCCTAAGATCATATCATATTGTATCCATTCAGTTTATACAGTTTCTTAACGGTTCAAACAAGTTTGATTTTTAGGCTCTAAAATATTGGTGCAATTCTTCTTTTCCAATGCGTTAGAAAATCACTATGGACTTTTTACACATTTGCTGACACTGGAAATTACCCACATTTTGCACATTTTTTTTACAATATGAAAATTAGTAAATAAACTATAAAGGTATTGTATTGTAGTTGGTTATTCTATCACATTGAAGGTCTGGTCTATGTGTGTATATATATATATTAATCTATACTTAAAATTCATTAGAAAATCATTAATAGTCTTATTACACCCACTTTTGGGTCTAATATTTTTTATTTTATTTGGTAAGTATTCTACTTTTCTAAGTCATTAAAATAATGTTGAGATATCTATATGAATTAAATTTATCTAGAGTGGTGGTTTGTTCATCTTTCACATAGTATTATCACGTGGACCCACAAATGAAAGAGAATACTGTTGAGATATTTGGTTTATTTATTCTTAATATATACAATTCATTGACCACATTTTTACTATTTCTTTTTAAGAATATAACTATTACAGATATGAGTGGATATTCAAATCTTCAACTTATTCAAAATTACTAATATCCTACCATCTTTTTTAGTACTAATATCGCAACTTGTTAAAATCATACTTTAAGTTTGACAAATTTTTATAAAATAAAATTACTAAAAAAACATAGGTTTTCAGGGAAGCTAGAAAAATGAGTTATATCGTAAATTAGTTTTTCCTTGATAGGTTTAGTAATAATTTTGGCTGTGTTTAATTAAAATAGATAATTCATAAAAAATGAACTAAGAGTAATATTTTTAAAGCATTTTAAGAATATTATATCGGGTCAAGATTCAAGATCCTTTAGAAGAGAGCTAAAGAAATCTTAAATATTAAGCCTATACTTAAGTAAATCTAAGGCCTATAATTTGATGGATATGCATCAATTTACTCTATTTGAGAATAAAGGTTGGATCTGTCACCCACCCTACAATTGCTGAAATGGGAATATAGAGGTTAGAGTTGATGTGTATTTTACCAAATTATCATCCTAAAAAATAAAAATCATTTAAATTCATGGTTTTAAATATTCGTCCACACATTGACATTTTCATCGCATACATAATATTAAGATTAATTATTTTTAACTAATTTAAAAATAGGAAAAATGTTTATTTGTTCATTTAAATATTTTTTTACCATTTTTTAATTTTTTTAGCTTTTACAAAAATATCCATTCTACCGATATTTCAATGAAATTGACATTTCAATATTTCCATCGACATCGACGTTGAAAACCTTGTTTAAAATCAGATACAACTCTCAAAAGATTACAAATCTATAAAGAAAAGAAATTACATACGTAATTCCCTGGAAAATGAAAATTCAATTACATTTCATCTCCATTAGGTTTGTTAAATCGAGAGAGTCAAAAAACTTGATTTTTTTTTTTCTTTTTCTCACACGGAGCTTTCTTCTGAGAAACTTCCAAAGAAAATTGAAATCTGATGAGGCAAGACTACTGAATTGGAAGCATTTGATTTTTCGATTGATTAAATGTTAACCGACCTACTCTTTTACCTTTCTTTTGCCGTTATAATTTTCTAATATTTTCTATTGTCTACTAGTCCAAAAATGAAAAAAAAAAATAAAAAAATCATACGTTCCACAAAGATGGGTTTGAAATTGATACAATGAATTTGGTTTTTAAACACCATATTTTAGGCACATATCTCCGACTAAAAGATCGTGAGTTCGAATTCCAATTTCGATATGTTGTACTAAAAAAAGAAACACTCGGATATTTTTTATGTATATTCTTAATGTACTTTTTTTATTACCCATGAGTCAACGACCCTTTGACATTTTTTGCCCTTATACCTGAGGTATGTATAGTGTTCCCATACCCGTACATACACAAGAAGTCATTATTTGATAGAGTTGCATTCCGGATTGAATCCAAGAATTTAAGAATATTGCTTGAAGCCCTAAGCTACATCCAAGCTATCTTTGGGAGACATTTTTAATGTACCTAGTATATAATAATTATAATAATAAGACTCACGAATGAGATACTTATTTAAATTATATATTTAGTCTTTAAATATTATTTCTTCCCGTTATTGTGTCTATTTTGTAAAATGGTGGACGATCGAGACTTTTATTTCAAATATGACACAAATTAAACGTTTTGAGAAAATATTAACCGTAGCGCTGAACTTGATAAAATATATCAATTTTACCATAAACTTTTCATCAAATTGCATATTAAATTTGGATAAGTATTGCAATAATTTTCTATCTTTTACACTTTATTGGTACAATTTTTACCTTTCCAGAGATTTTCATTTGGTAGGAAATTAATAGGATTAAGACAAATCTCTTTTTTTTTTTCATTGGTGAGATTTCATGGATTTATTTAATAGTCAAGTTTAATCAAATTTAATTTGCAAAAATGACCTTGATCTTTATTAAATTAGTGATTTTTTTTTTGGTTAATGGGATTTGAAATTCCAAACTTTCAACCAAGTAATAGTTACTTTTCTTTTCTTTTTTTTCGAGATGATTATTAAATGGAGAAAAGAGTCAAAGCAGGAAAAACACAACCAATAAAATT